AACATTGCAAGAAAAGTTTCTAATTCCCTTAAGAACCAAAAGCCAGAAAGATTTTCGCAAATGCGTTGTACATGATGAATATCATAGAAGATGAAATGCTCTATGAACCATTAAACACACGTGCAGGTAAAATTGTTTCCAGAGAAATATTTGTTATTAATGATCATGAAATTAAGCCAAAGACAAATCTTGTTCAGACAAAATCTGTCAATGCAATGATAAATCTTTTGTTCACAGCTGCAAAGATGAAATACAACGCAATTGTTCAAGGTCCATGTGGAACTGGAAAATCAACAGCAATTAGTTATTTGGCAGAATTATTCGATGCTGATTTGATGACAGTCAGAATTTCTCCATCCACAACAATTGAAAGTATCTATGGCCAGAACGAACTGGTTCAAGATGAATATGGCGCATCATTCAACTTCAACAAGACTGCTCTTCTAAAGAAGATTACAGAAAATGCTTCTAATAGAAGACCAGTTTGGATTGTTCTCGAAGAGATTGATCAAGCATCAGATAATCTGATTGATTCATTAAATCAATTGTTTGATTCAGAATCAGATCAAATTTTACTTCCTAATGGTACAATAGAAAAGAAGAATGAATATGTCATGTTTGGCTTATCTTCAAAGCCATTTTACAACGAGAATATTTTGAATAATGCTGTTTGCATTGAACAGTCCGAGTATCCAGAAAATGAATTTGTTCAAATTTGTCAACAAATAGTTCAGGATTCAAATCTTGCTCATAACAATGAAATCTCTGAATTTCCATCAGTTTTGTATCAGTGGAAGCAATTAGCCAAAGAGAAACAAAGTCCAATTCCAATTACTATCAGAACATTTAAGAATTTCATTAATTTGGCTTCCCAACTTCCATCTAAAATATCCTTTTTGAAGAATCAAATTTACAAGACAGTTTTCGATGAAGAAAACCCAGAAAATAAAGAAGAAGACGAAGAAACAGAGATAAGAGTTGAAAATGGCTATGTCTCAATTAATGATAGAACGTGCACAAATTATATTCAAGATGAAAGGAAGCAGTCTCTTATTCAGAATATGACAAAATCGCAGAAGAATTTGTTCTTAATTCTGAATGCTTCAACTAAAAAATGCATTCCTGTAATTATTCAAGGAAAGACAGCATCAGGAAAGACTCATGCAATGAGCTTGTTTGCGGAAGCAATGGGACAGAATTTAATTACTCTTCAGCTCAACACAGAAACAAGTGATTCTATTGTTTATGGTGGTTACAAACCATTATCTGAACTTCGTCCAAAGCAAAGAGAAGAAATACAAACAATGATGAATGAAGTTGGCCGAACATTCCCTGCCATAAATCAGATCAAAATAAACTCTTGGGTTCCAGTTGAACTTCATGAAATAGTTAATCGACTCACAACAATCAAAGCATCAATTCCTAATACAGTAGAAAGTCTTCCAATTGATAATTTAATCAAGAAAATTATTAATGAATGTCAATTCTATAATCTCATCGAGAAATACGAATCAATCATTGTTAAAGCAATGAAAGAAGGAAAATGGCTTCTTCTTGACGGAATTGAAGCATGTCCAAGTATGATTCTTGATAGAATCATTACATTGTTTAGTCAATCTCCTAAACTCGATTTGTATGAAAGAGGAATTAACAATGAAATCACAGCTCATCCAAAATTCCGCGTTTTCATGACATATAATCCATATGAAGTAACAACTAGACAAAGAATTTCTCAGGGTTTATTAAACAGATGCTTCATTTACACACTTGATCAAATTGATAATGATTTCAATGATTCATTCAATGTTGTTTTCGGAATCATTTCTCAAATTAAGAATTTGGGATTCACAAATACAAATGAAGTGCAAAAACTTGTTGCAAGAGTTATCAATGTTCATCTTAGCCAAAAGCAAAACCAGGATGTTGATGGAAGGACATTAATCAGAATTGCAAATTCATTTGCTTTGAAAGCTCCATTAAATAGAGATAAGATCATCGATTCACTTGAGAAGAACTATTCAAGTAAAATTGAGATTGATGATGAATTTAAGAATAATATTCAGAGTAAATTTAATGAAGCAATTGATGAAAGCAAACTCAAGAAGTTCAAAAACTCAGTTATCATTCAGAGTTCTGAATTAGAACGCCTCAAGAAATCTCTTGTTGAATTCAAGAGAAGCTGTAATTTCTCCATCCAAATTTTCCTTCAAACATTCATGAGACTTCCATTTGAAAACTATGAAGAACTTCAGAAAGTTTTGACTTTTGATCATCAATACATTGATATCTTTGTGCTCATTAATAATTTCATCTTGGAATCAGCTAAGATCATTAGAAGAGAGAAGAAATTAGAAGGACAATCATTAAGTACTATTGTCAAGAACGAATTTCAGAATTTTGATGAATTTGTTTCAAGAATTGAAGCATATTTATTCATAATTGAAAAGTATGATATCAATGAGCTTGAATTCAAGGCTATTGATCTTTATTTATTAAGCCAAATCAATGCAACAAATAATATTAATGAAGCATTGTTTTTCTTCCTTTCAATGAAAAACAGATCACCAGAAATGTTTTATCAAACATCATATATGTATTCAGTTGCAAAAGGCATTGAAGAGATCAAGAATCTTGGATATAAAATTATTTTAGCTGAAAAGGAACCAAATGAAGTAATTGATAAAACCGTTATCTTTTACTTTAAGAACAAGCTCATGGATAAAATTTACATTGAGCAAAAAACAATTCCAATTTCTAGAATCGAAGGTGATCTTGAAACTTTCTTTTCTAATATTTCAAGTCAACATAAGACATCTAATTCTTCTTTTTCAAATAATTCTGTAGACCAAGAATTCAGAAAGAGTCTATCAAAGAAGTTCATTTACATGTTATATAATTCTATCTTTTATTCTCCGAAACAATTAAAAGGCATATTCCAAGATTATGCTTCCGAAAGCTATCAAATTTCTTATGATTTGATTGTAAAATACAAAGATCTTCAAATGTTCAAGCAATGGTCAGATCTTTTGGAATTGATCTCAACGACAATGAATAATAATGAAACTCTCTCTCTTGGAGCAATTAATTGGAAGAATGTTCTTGAAAAAGATAGTAATTTATACAATTCATTAATGTCTTTTGATTTCACCAAATTCAAATTATGCGCAACATTTAATAATTTGATAAGAGAATTAAAGAAAATGAATATTAAAATAAAAGAGAAAAAGAAAAATAACAAGAAGAGAACATCAAAGTCTGTGATGAATGAAATCCAACAATATATTAATTTGAAACAACCAAATTATGAAATCTTACAATGGGCGATTGATTCAAACGTTTTCAGCGAGAAGACCCTTCCGAAAGATTTATTGAAGATGATTGATAGAGCAAATATTGAAATCTATACTCCAAAACAATATCACTTCAAACAACTTGGTGATTTATTTGTTTCAAATAATAATGATGATGTATCATGGTTTTATCATTATTGCTTATATTCCTACAAATCATATTTAATTGAAAGTACAGAAAATGGATCTCTTAAATCTCTCAAAGTTCTTTCTGAAATGTCAAAAGATATCAAAAATTGTTTGCCAAAAGTTTTTACTGAAGGTGATTTAACATCATTATATTCATATAAAAATGAAATAACCAGAGAATTATTCCAACATCTTGGCGAAAAAAAGGAATTCATCAAAAGGTCAAAAGTTATTGATGAAGTCAATAAACTTATAAATCCATCAAACTACGTTTCTTCAGATTGGGAAGATGTTCTTGAAAAGATTGATAATTTCATTCCTCTTGAAATTCCTTTCGAATTTCCGCCAAAAACGCCTTCAACAATAACAAACTTTTTATACTCCAGCATCGGTATCAAAGGATTCGAATATCTCAGTCAGTCATGCAGATTCATGGAGTATAGAGAGAATTCTATTAACAATCCACCGACAACATTCACTGACATTAGTAACAAAGTTCAAGAAATATTTGGAGAACAAGATACTTTTGCAGCTTTTTGCAGATCATTGGATGAGAATCAATGCGAATTCTCTTTCTGCGATGCAATGCTTTATTACAATAAAACAGATCTTGAATTCGTTCCTTTCCAAACACTTTTCTTACAAAAGAACCCAGATATGAAACAATTGATGAATCTTTGCCTCCCACAAAATGAAACAGATTCATTTCACATGATAATTGGATTGATTATTATCAGATTGTTCTCAAATAGCAATCTTTTAATAATCAGCAGCAAGATCACCAATGACATTCATCGACTTCTTCGAGAAATTATCAATGATTGGTATAAGAGCCCATCTCAGTTTTTGTTTGATTATTTAATGAAGGTTGAAGATTATTATAAAAGAAATCCTCAAAATACTTTTTCTAGTTTGTTTGATTGTATTGATATTATCTCTGGATGTATTCAACAAATTGATCAAATGAACATATTCATTGAACAAATAAGAAAGGATTTTGGAATTGCAATCAAAAAATATGTTGGTTTATCCTTAAATCCTTATGCTTTAAAAGCCTATTTAGAACAGCAAGGAAATGATATAGAGACTCTTTCATATCTTCAAAGGCATTTCAAAGATTTAATGAAATCATCAATTAGTTACACTAAAAAATTGTATGAATTTATTCTTGCATTAACTGCAAGCCCAGGTTCCAAAATGGTTTTTAATTACCAATCAATCGTGATTTATGGATGTATGACAGCAATATCAGAGTTTGCATCTGCAAATGAAATTGAGGTTAAATTCCTTACCGATTACTTTAAGTTTGTATTTAAAGATTTCGATTTAGATTTATTCGAAAGAATTATCAAGGCAATTAAAGAATTTAATACAGTAGCATCCAATCCACAAAGCCAAATTATCCATGATTTCGTTTGGAATCCATTAGGGTCGTTTGTTAAAGAATACAACAATGCCTTAAACGAAGAAATTGAAAAGTTCAAATTAGAACTTTATGAAGAAGATGCAAAAATTAAACGAATGCATTCATTGAATCTTTATACTGCTATGTCAAATGCAATAAGTAAAGACAAGAAAGATTTTGTTGATGCCTTCAATAGAGATAAGATTGATGAAGAAAAATTAATTGCATGGAAAGAATATTCTCAATATGTTAAAGCGTTGATCATAAACATTCCATTGCTTAATGATACTCAGAACCCAAAGTTACCATTCAGTGTCCAAAATTTTCTTAAATTGTTAGAGAATCCTCCAATTTACACAAATGCTGAAAAAATAACAATCCTTTACGTCAAGAAGATGCACACGGAATACGATTATTTTGAAATCGAAGATAAACTAATAGAAGGAGATGAAAGAATACTTAAAAAGAGCTGCCAAAATTCTTTTATGATATTTAGGCTAAATCCAGATAGAAATGAATCTGAATTTGAAATCAATGAATGCATTGTTAAACGATATACAATTTACTATGAAAAGGATGTTCAAATGGCGCAAGCTTGTGAAATTAAAGATGTATTAGATAAAGCAATCAAATTCAACAAAATTAAGAGTCCAAACAAACTTATTTTTGAAACAGATAGCTTGGAAGTATGTTTTGGAAATAAGACAGAGACTGAATTCTTAGATGAATTAATAACATATTCTAAGGTGGGACTTAATGAATTTGATAAAAGGATCATAAATTACGGAAGGCCAATTCTCAAATATAAAGAAGATTACGAGATGAAAGCAACATATGAGCAATATAATTCTATTAAAAGAGTTTTGGAAGATTCACAGAATTCTTCACGGAATATAGATCAATACAATAATTGTATCGAAGAATTAAGTTCAAAACAAATTAAAAATATATATACTTGCGATTTCGATCATGTTAAATTAGAAATCAAGAAATTACAAATTCAATTTAACAAATTGAAAATTGAACAGCTCCTAACCCCAATTTTGGTAGTTCAGGGTGATAAAGTAACATGTTCATTCAAAACTATTGATGTAGAAATTGTTGATGTTCCGCAATACGCTATAACTCCATTCGCAATTAGAATTCCAATTGTTGGACAAATTCCTAAAGAAGAAATTTTCTTGGCAGATTCAGATGATATACAGATTAAATATGATAATGACTCACTGATTATAAAAGCGAAACCAGTTTCAAATGCAACTTTAACAGCAACTTTGAATGTAATGAATTTGCAGATTCCAATCAAAATCAAATTTGCCTTGGGTAATATTCCAATTTACATAAAATCCGGTGATAACAAATTTATTAATGATGGATTTACTTCCTTCTTTAAATCTGTTACATTTAAGAATGAAAAGATTTCAGTTACTGTCGAAGATGGAAATACAAACAATATTCCTCACACTCTCACTTTCCAGCAAGGAACTTCTTCTAAACAGAAATGTAAACCAACATATGAATATAATGAACAAAATTGTGAATCCATATTCTACTTTAAGGAAGTTGATTCCGCAGATATGATTGTCTACGTTCATATTTCGAATATGAATCCAATTCCTATACCATTCAGATCAGAAATTATTGAGAGACCAATAATTTTCAAAACATGGAACATTTCCAAAGGGTTATTTGATGATTCAACTGAAATCTGGGCAGGTGATTTACTCTGCAACTACGCATTTAGCTTGATGACATATCTTCCAAATGAAAATGGCTCAATAAAAGTTGAAATTACAACAAGTACTGATAACATTAATCTTAAGCTTGCCGGAGATAAAGTTGGAACTAAAACATACATTCATTCAATTAAATCTGATGGTAAAAATAAAATTGCTCATCAAATTCCTTTTGCCATTTGCTTCAATAATCGTGAAGATAAAGTTGAAAAGCTATTTATCAAAATTAAATTTGCTGAATTAATCTTTGAAAAACAAATCACTGTAATCCCGTGTTATATTAGGTTCACAAAAACTGCTATTAATGTCTGGAATCCTAAAATTAATTTTGATTTTGATGTTCCTCAAAGATCTCCTGCTCCCATTTGTAACGGAAAGTATTACATTTTTGATTCACAAAAATTTTTGGAAATTGATAATCATACAAAGATGAAAGAAGAGGACTCATATCATGTTGTTACTCCATTCAGTTACAATGTGTATTCTCTCAATGAACCAAATCAATACACGACTATTCATTACAACGAGAATCATCAAATTCAATACCAAAAAAATGTTCTTAACTTTTCTTACTTTGTTATTGATCGAAATGGTAAATACTATGTAGTTCATAAAAATGACCTCAAAGAAGACCATCAAATTGTATGTGGTAGGTTATGTCAGAGTGATATCAGAACCACAGGCAAAGATAAGGTTCAAGAGAAATGGCAAAATTGCTGGTTCCCATTTACTGATGACAAAGAAGCAATAAAGCAACTTTTCTCAAATCATCAAAAGAATATATATCATATGATATATATGACGAAAAGTATTTTGGAATTTATTAGGTTGCCTTACGATGAATCATTGGCAGCCAAAAATATATTGAATTACATAGTTGACATATTTTACCATCGTTTGGAAGCTCTTAACAAACAAAAAGGTCATCTCAGGACTGATGTCGATATTAAATTAATCTTTGAAACCAGGAAATCCTGCCAAATAGATATACCTTTGAATCCCATTAATGAAATACTAAACACAACCGATGAGCTATTTAAGAGGGATCTCCAAAGAATCGTAAATGGATTCACACCTGAGAGACGAAATTCATTCATTCGTGTAATGAGTGAAATATTAAAAGACAGTCCTGTATACTCGAAACAGGATAAAACTGAAAAAGACTACCAATATCTATTGCAAAATGTTTTCAAATATTCACCATTAAACATATTGATGAAAAAGGTTTTAGACTTCATCAAATCGAAATCATTGATTATATCGGTTGATGATGAAAAGACTAATGTTGTTGACTCTATCATTACCAAATACAAAGGTGCTCCTGTTAAAAACAACTCTGAATTTAATTCTTTGATTGAAAGAGAGATTAAAGATGTTAAACGCCTGGAATGAAAACTATTGGGTCTTTTATAGAAATGATTCAGAGCGCAATGATATTGTCTCAAAATCTTCCATTTTTCTTAAGTGAAATAATTGAAAAAGGACTCGAAAAAGAAAAGAAAGATGATGCTGATCGACTTTTTAATGAATTGGTATATGTAAATGATTGGTGCACATCTATATCAGCTATGCATAATAATCCGTTAATAAAGCTTGCTAAATTGTATATGGAATACTTCCAAAAACTTAAGAATTCTATGTATAATAACGAAAATAACGCGAACTCTTATTTCATTATTCCAACTGCTATTCCACCAAATGTATATACAAAATGGGATGTTGAAAAGAAGGATGAAAAACTTGAAACAACGGATAAACCTAAGATTCAAGAAGAAAAAGAAGTCTTCATAGAAAAACCTACAAAATTTTCTGAAACAAAAGATTCTCACACTGGAAAAGTTGTTTCCAAAATTATGGTTGATATTACAACAGATGATATCCAAAAGAATATAATTGAATCAATGAAATTTTCATCAAATGAGATTAAACTAAGACTGACAGAAAACGAGTTAGGAGAAGATTCTACATCTCAAACAGTCGGACAAAACCTGGATATTTCAAAAGTAGAATGCATTATCAAATGTGCTCTTCCTCTTGCATCTGCAATCATGCGCAAATTCATTAACTCAGGGATCTCTCTTGGAAACAAAGAAGTTGCTATCTTGTTAGATTCAAGCAGTACAATCAATGAAGCAAATCATAGGAATTCTGTTTTCACAATGTTTGTTTCGATGGCTATTGCATTTGAAAATCTCCATATCCCAACAAATCTCTATGTTTTCTGTGATACAAGATTCCAATTCTTTGTGAAATCAAGTAAACAACTCCTTAAGAGAGAGCACATCCAAGTTGCACTTGATGCATTCAGTGTGTTCAGAAAGATTTCAAATGTTGGAGATGCAATTTCCAAGATTAAGAACCATGATGTTTCAACAGTTTTTGTTATCACTGATGGACTTCTCTACAATCTTCATGATACTCAAGGATATCAAGACCTTCTAAAAGACAGGCGAATCAAAATTAATTTTCTTGTTCTATCCGTCTTAAAAGATGAAGATTTTGAAACAATGAAGAATTACATCGATAATTCTCTCAAATTGATCAATGAGAAGAATGCAATGATGTTTGCAAGCTATATCAAAGGACTTGAAAAAGCATTCAAAAGTTCAGGTGATTTAGCAGATATCATCAACAAAGGATTATTGATCGATAACAAAGTTTCGCACCACCATACTACAGATTTCAAGACATGTACAATTTGTGATGAAGCAAACTTTGAATTCAAAGATATTGATGTTTCTTCGAAGAAATACAGTTCAAGATACAACGAAGCTCTTGAATTTAGTCCAGATGAAATCTTTGATATCCCTCAAATTGAAGATACTCAGTTCATCACCAGATGCAAGAAACAAAAAGAAATTTCATTTGATGGATTGAGCCAAATAAAGAAAGTTCAGAACCAGATTTTGAATTCATTTGAACCAAATAAGCCAACTCAATTCTCTCAGAGTACTAAGGGAAGCAACATATCCATCAAAGGTTATATCCAATTCTTAGTTACGCAAGGACAGGAACAAAGGATTTATTTGGAAAAGAACGCAGGTTTCGTTCTTTCTCAATCTCTTTTCGTTGTTATTGACGCAAGTATTAGCTGTTTCAATGAACATGCTTGCAATCAATCATTGCAGACAATCATTTGCACATTAAACTCACTTAGAATTGTTGATTTTGATACAGTTACAATTCTCATTAGTAGAGGAAACGAAACAATCGAAATATGTCATGAGGTTTCTAATACGGATCTTTTCGTTGAAAGCTCCCCAGTTTGGAGTGCAATTGTTAATATTTGCACTTCACCATCAATGAACTCCGATATCATTTCAACTCTTGCATGTGTTGATGATATCAGAGCTAAGCAGCAATCAAAGCAATCCCTTTGTCTCTGCTTTACTGACTGTATGTTAAATTCACAAGAACTTAAAGCACTTGGCACAATTATAACTCAGCTAGAAAGCAGAAAGACACCAGTCTATTCAATTGGAATTGGCTTAGATCCTAGCAAAATTGCTATTGGATTCAAGTACTCTTTCTGGTCAATGAATCCAATTGTTATTCCTATTGCAATTATGAAAGCTTTCAGAGGTATCTTCTCCCCTGAAAAGATCATTCCATTTATAGATGATAAAGTTCTCGAAGAAGATTTCAACAAACTTACAGATATAATTCAAGATAACAATAGAAACTATGTCTATACCGATATTTATAAGAAGCTCGATGAAATCATTAGATTACAAGAAACTTATTCAGCCTATTATAACCAAGAAGCTGCTTCCACCAGAATTATCGAAACAGAAGATGTGGATGGATCAACAACTGAAGGTTCACAGGCATCATCATCAACAACAACAACAGCAGCAACGACAGCCACTCAGGGTGGTTCATCTTATACAGCTCCATCAAAGAAATATACAGCTCCTATTAGATCGAAATTGGCAAACCAAGATGAAATCAAAGATCTTGGTAAAGGAAAGATCTGGGCGCAGACAATTCTCATTTGCCAGTTCTGGGATTACTGCATGATGCCATCTAATACAAAAGGAGAGAGTGAATATATCTCAAAGAAAACACTTGAAGGTCCTAAAGGCATTATCAAAGCTGTTTCTGATCTGGGAATGAAGTGCACAATTGTTCAGAACTACAAGGATTCAATCGAAGCCTTGATGTCAGGAGAATATTCTCAAGCTTGGGTTATCTGTGGTCGTGGCGAAAACAAGAAACCAAATGAATTAAATAATGATGGAACATCATATTTAATTGACCAATTCATAGATTGTCTAATTGAGTTTAACAAGAATGGTGGCGCACTCCTTATCGCTGGAGATAACAATCCATTGACATTCGAATTAAACAAGTTCTTAGAGAAAGTAGAACTTGATGGAAAGAAACCACAATTTAGATTTGTGTGGATGAACCTGGTAAAAACATGCTGAGATTTGGCGATATTGACAGTGATGATGCACAACTATTTGATAAAAGATCAATGATCAAAGTTCCTGGAAGTGAGCGCCCTCTATACGGATTCAATGTTAAGACTCTTTACGAAGGAACAACAATTTCATGTGCCCCAGGAGATGCAGATATATCTCCATTCCAGCCATTCATTATCTCTAGAGGTGGAAACTATGCAAATTTGTATTACATGGCACCACTAAATAGTGATGCTGGAGATATAATACTCGATGGTTCTTTCACTCGATTCTTCAACGAACTTCATGAAGAAGGAACCCTTAGATTTGTCCGAAACATCGCAGTTTGGCTGTTGTCTGTTGAACGCCGTGAAAGAAATCTTCATGACTATAAGAGAGCAACAACATGGAAGGCAAAAAAGTTCGATTTCAATATCAAAGATGTTGACAAATCTAAAGTTCAATACAATACATTCTCAAGTGGACAAGATATTGATATTTGTTTTGTTGTTGATGGAACAAAATCAATGAACAATGAAAGAGGTAAGGTTCACGAATTCGAAGAAAAAGCAAACGAAAGATCAATGATTACAGGTGCAAAGAGCATCTTCAAGAAACTAATGGAATACACTAAGAAGAAATATAGCGATCTAAATGTTAGATATTCTGCCAATTTCTTCAGAGATGCAGCCATGGCCGAACAATTATATAGGCATAAGAAGCAAGGTCATGGAACAGTTGACTACAATGTTGCAACACCATTTGATTTCAAGGAACATGGTGGAAGCATAAACCCAGTTGAATTCGACAAAGTCGAAACAAATGGAGGCGCAGGAGATGGTCCAGAAGATTGGGTTCAAGCTTTCGAAGGAATGTTCAAATTCCATTGGAAACCCCAAGCAAAGAAGATTATGATTATGATTACTGATGCTGGAGGTCATGGAGAGAAATTTAATTCTAAACCGGATAGAGATGATGAAGATAAAGAAATTGACCGCACTGAAGGTCCGAAAGTCGAAAGATTAATCAGAAGAATTGCAGAAGAGAAAATTGATGTTTGCTTCATCTACACTCATTGGAATGCTAAACAAGGAATGAAAGAGTTCAAGAGAATTTATGAAGAAGCAGGTGGCTCGAATTTCAAGTCAATTGAGGAAACATTTGCCAATGCAGGTCAAGAACTAAGACAAACAGTATCTGATTTGATAACAAGTATTGTTGATACTGCTGTTGCTTCATTTAATACATCAAAAGTGAAAGAAATTACTCTTGCAGCAGATGCAAAGTTACCAAAGAGAAAGAAGAGAGAACAAATTTCATTGGAAATCAATGATCAACCAAAGAGCATTCCGAATGAAAAATCAGGCAGAAAGAAAGAAAGAGTTGTTTCAGGAGTGGTCGAATATGAAGAAAAATCACAAGAAAGCACACCTGTTGAGGTTGTCAGCGAAACTCAAACTACTGAAGAAGGATTGAACAAGTTCAAAGATGAAATTAACTCTCACCGTAATGATATAAAAGCTATTGAACAAAAAGTCAAAGAACAAAAGATGACACGAATGATAAATATGGAATCAATTCCACCAGCACCTGCTAATATACAAACTGCAAATCAGTATTTTGTTCAATCAAACCAGCAGCAACAAGGAATGCAAGGAATACAAATGCCTCCTCCTCAGCAGCAACAACAAGGAATGCAAATGCTTCCTCAGCAACAACAACAAGGAATGCAAATGCCTCCTCAGCAACAACAACAAGGAATGCAAATGCCTCCTCCTCAGCAGCAACAACAAGAAATGCAAATGCTTCCTCCTCAGCAACAACAACAAGGAATTCAAATGCTTCCTCAGCAACAACAACAAGGAATGCAAATGCTTCCTCAGCAACAACAACAAGGAATGCAAATGCTCCTCAGCAACAACAACAAGGAATGCAAATGCTTCCTCCTCAGCAACAACAACAAGGAATGCAAATGCCTCCTCCTCAGCAGCAACAACAAGAATGCAAATGCTTCCTCAGCAACAACAACAAGGAATGCAAATGCTTCCTCAGCAACAACAACAAGGAATGCAAATGCTTCCTCAGCAACAACAACAAGGAATTCAAATGCCTCCTCAGCAACAACAACAAGGAATTCAAATGCTTCCTCAGCAGCAACAACAAGGAATTCAAATGCCTCCTCCTCAGCAACAACAACAAGAATGCAAATGCCTCCTCAGCAACAACAACAAGGAATGCAAATGCTTCCTCAGCAACAACAACAAGGAATGCAAATGCTTCCTCAGCAACAACAACAAGGAATGCAAATGCCTCCTCCTCAGCAACAACAACAAGGAATGCAAATGCCTCCTCCTCAGCAACAACAACAAGAAATGCAAATGCCTCCTCCTCAGCAACAACAACAAGAAATGCAAATGCTTCCTCAGCAACAACAACAAGGAATGCAAATGCTTCCTCAGCAACAACAACAAGGAATGCAAATGCTTCCTCAGCAACAACAACAAGAAATGCAAATGCTTCCTCAGCAACAACAACAAGAAATGCAAATGCTTCCTCCTCAGCAACAACAACAAGAAATGCAAATGCTTCCTCAGCAACAACAACAAGGAATGCAAATGCTTCCTCAGCAACAACAACAAGGAATGCAAATGCCTCCTCAGCAACAACAACAAGGAATGCAAATGCCTCCTCCTCAGCAGCAACAACAAGAAATGCAAATGCTTCCTCAGCAACAACAACAAGGAATGCAAATGCCTCCTCCTCAGCAACAACAACAAGGAATGCAAATGCTTCCTCAGCAACAACAACAAGGAATGCAAATGCTTCCTCCTCAGCAACAACAACAAGGAATGCAAATGCTTCCTCAGCAACAACAACAAGGAATGCAAATGCCTCCTCCTCAGCAACAACAACAAGAAATGCAAATGCCTCCTCCTCAGCAGCAACAACAAGAAATGCAAATGCCTCCTCCTCAGCAACAACAACAAGAAATGCAAATGCTTCCTCAGCAACAACAACAAGGAATGCAAATGCTTCCTCAGCAACAACAACAAGGAATGCAAATGCCTCCTCAGCAACAACAACAAGGAATGCAAATGCCTCCTCCTCAGCAGCAACAACAAGAAATGCAAATGCCTCCTCCTCAGCAACAACAACAAGGAATGCAAATGCCTCCTCAGCAACAACAACAAGGAATGCAAATGCCTCCTCCTCAGCAGCAACAACAAGAAATGCAAATGCCTCCTCCTCAGCAACAACAACAAGAAATGCAAATGCTTCCTCAGCAACAACAACAAGGAATGCAAATGCTTCCTCAGCAACAACAACAAGGAATGCAAATGCTTCCTCAGCAACAACAACAAGGAATGCAAATGCTTCCTCAGCAACAACAACAAGGAATGCAAATGCCTCCTCCTCAGCAACAACAACAAGGAATGCAAATGCCTCCTCCTCAGCAACAACAACAAGGAATGCAAATGCCTCCTCCTCAGCAACAACAACAAGGAATGCAAATGCCTCCTCCTCAGCAACAACAACAAGGAATGCAAATGCTTCCTCAGCAACAACAACAAGGAATGAAAATGTCTCCTGCACAGCAGCAAGGATTTAACCCGTTTTACTCTATAATTCAACAATTAAGCCAGCTCCCTCCTGATATGCAGATACAATTTATGATGATGATGAATAATATGTCACAACTTGCAATGCAAGTCCAAAATCCAACGCAATATCCTGCGCAATCAACATATCAATATGGAACTCCAATTCAACAACAATATGCAATTCCAAACCAATTTGGAATGCAAAACCAGCAGCAACAGATTCCGCAACAAAACCAGCTTGAAATGTCAAACCAATTTGGAATGCTAAATCAACAGCAACTAATTCCACAGCAGAACCAATTTGGTGTACCAAATCAGCAGCAACAGAATCAGTTTGGAATGCCTAACCAGCAGCAAAACACGGGATTCAATGAAACAAGAAACACAAGATCCCGAAATAGAAAACATTAATTTTTTATGATTTTATATATTTATAAATATAAGTTATATTATTTTTATTTGAGTTAGTTTTTTTAACAAATTATCAATATTTTGAGATTGAAATTAATAAATTAATTGAAGATATTTGATCAAATCTATATAGTAATAACCATCAAATGATAGCCTTTTATACAATTCAAATCTCAACCATCAGCTTTGCTCTAATTTTCCGAAATCTCACAGGATTGAATTGTATAAAAAACGATGTTCCTATCGTGAAAAAGCTATTGAAAAAATCCAATCAAAGTTTACAACTTTACATGCATCGTCTTTTCATCGTCTTTTTTAGAGCCAAATTGGAAATTCTTACGCACACATGACATTATATCATATTTATCAAGAAATTTTGCGAAGATTTTTGATATTCAGAAAAACTCTTAGAAAAATAGTCAGACCTTTAACACAAAAATGCATCACGTCGCACCACACGACAACTTCACCATCATCAAGAATGAGAATGAAGTTATTTAGAAGTGCATGGACCAGATCGACAATGATTAGTCATTTTGGGTCGCTGATTTCAATCGCGTTCGTCATTGCCTTGCCTTATGGGAAGAAAACTTAAACAGAGTTCACATCCACTACGCTATGAAGTGCTGCGATGAGCCAGAGCTTCTCAAATTCCTTGCTGACCGTGGTGTTGGCTACGATTGCGCTTCCCAAGATGAAGTCCAGAGAATTCTTGCATTAGGCGTTGATGCAAACCGTATTGTCTTCGCTCACCCAATCAAGAGCATCGCATCAATCAAATACGCTAAGGAGCACGGAGTTACTCGTTTAGTTTACGACTCTGAAGAAGAGCTTCGTAAGATCTTACGCTACTACCCAGAAGCTGAAGTCTTCCTTCGTATCAAGCCACGTTTCACACACGCCAAGATTCAGCTCTCCAACAAGTTCGGCGCTGATCCAAAGGACGTTCCGAAACTCATGCAGCTCGCATCAGAGTTAGGCGCTAACTTCATCGGCTTCTCATTCCACGTTGGCTCACTTTGCGATGATATCACAACTTTCCGCGTCGCTCTTGAATACGTAGCCGAATTGAAGGCTAAGGCTGAACAGATCGGCCTTAACGTTTCATTCGTTGATATCGGCGGCGGCTTCCTTCCACCATCAGTCAAAGCCAAATACACATTTGCCGAAATCGCTGAAGCTATCAATACAGCTATCGACGAACTATTCGATGGTGATGAGATCGAGTTCCTCGCTGAGCCAGGCCGCTTCATTGCTTCTGATTTCATGGATCTTGTTATTCCAGTCATCTCCGTCAAGGACCACCACGAAGATGGTGAAGAACAGTCTGTCTTCATGGCAGAAGGTATCTACGGCGCTTTCAACGCTCTCAACTACGACCACGCTGAGCCACACTTCTTAATCAGAACAGAAGGAGCTGCTGACGGCGAAAGAGTCAAGACAACACTTTGGGGACAAACATGCGACTCCGCTGACCTCGTCTACGAAGAACTCTTATGGCCAAGACTCGAAGTTGGTGATTACCTTACAATCGAGAAGTTCGGCGCTTACACTTACTCTCCAACATCATTCTTCAACGGATTCCCACACCACAAAGTCTTCCACATCAACGAAGAAGATAAAGAGTAAATTTCCAACATAAATATAGAAATGGATTCAATTGAATCTATAATTAGTTCATTTAAATTCTCTACTTGTATACAATTTTACTTTCTTTTTCTATTCTTTTCTCAAAATATTTAAAAATTGAATATTTTATTTAATTTTGTTTTGTGATTATTGCAAAACTTACTCTAATTTCATGAACACTAAGATAATTTTTGATCAATATGAATGAAAAAGAAGAAATATCAAATATCAATTTCTTATCTATTTGAATGAGAAATTGTCATTTTCTATATATATACTTCATCGTGTAAGCATTTGTTCAAGAAGAAAAATACTCTTTAAGTTCCACATGAACAAGTATTGTGGGCTCAAAAATTACTTTGTACAAGGATAGATAATTGCATTCATTCAATAAAACTATATTCGCAATACGAACCAATCTATGTGAGTGCATATTGCTATATACAGTTTCCTCTTAAAGTCTTTTGATGGCAAGATAGAGAGGCCCAAAGTCTCCTAATATTTTGTTATCAAAATTTATAGGTAATATGCGAGGAACTTTAATTCATTAAAAAGAGTTGATTAATTAATTAATTAAGGGTGCACTTACACCCCTATGACAGGGCATTCAATTCAGATGTTTAAGGTTAAATTTCAATGAAGCGCTTCACGTCAGTTGTTAAAAATTTGAATTAAAGTCAGATGGGCGTAAGTGCAGCCTAAAAAATTAATTTTTTATAATTCTTGTTTCTCATCATTTTGTTGAGTTTCATTTGTTTCTGTTGAGTTAGACATTGATTGCAGCAAGTTTGATTCTCTCTCCAAGTAGTTCTGGAAAGCTTCTTTCTCTTCGTCAGGAACAGGGTTTTCTTCATCGAGGGACATGATGATTGTCAAGAGATGGTTGGCCAACTCTGTTGAATCAGGCATTACTGTCTCAATATCGATCTTTTGGTCGGAAATGATCTTGAGATTTCTGATGTATTCGTCCTTTGTTCTCTGGCAGTAGAGTTGTGTCTTGTTCTTGCCGCCATCCTTGAACAAATATAATGTTGGAACACCTCTCATGCTTGGAAATCCTTCAGAGCAGCCATTTCTCGAAATGTCGATGTATCCAACTCTGATGTTGGCTTTTGCATCATGTAAAGCTGTTGCCAACTCTGTAATAACTGGTATGATGGCTCTGCAGTGCGGGCATGTTGGTTTCATGTACAAAATCAAAGATTCGGAAGTTGTATTTGAAATAAAATCGAGATAATTCTTTCCTACAACTTTCTGGAATACTTCATCGTATTCTGGAATATCTTCGCTCTGGTATTCTGGAACAATTTCGCCGTTAACAGCTCTTTCGAAGAGATCTTTCGTAATTCTGTAGAATTCATCGGCATTGAAGTCATTTTCGAGGAGTTCTGTTGGGTATAATCCCGAAATGTTGTAGTAGTAAAGCTCTCTTGGGTTGGTAAATGCGATTTTAATCTTACGTTTTTTAAGTCATGAATTCGTAAGAAAGTGCGACATTATTAAATAAATTAGTAATAAATATTATATACTAAACACATTAAAAAATTAACATTAATTTTAAAATAATTTATTTTTTATCTTTTATAAAAGAAGCTATATATAGATGATGTCAGATATTCCGCGATTAATTAAACATTGTTTAAGGGTATAGTCCACTAAAAATTTTTAAGTTTTGACAATGAAAATAAGCTCTGTGACCATGTAAATATATATCTATGCAAAACGAGAGGTTATGCCATAATTTTTTTTAGTTATCAAATTTCCCTTTTTTTGAGAGAAGTCTCTCAATAATTTGAGAAGAATCTTTGATATAAAGAGATACACATTTGTAGAACGAAGTAAGTGTTTTCCAAACATTTTATATGTTCATCCTGTATAACAATATCAAGCTGCATAGTGCCATCTTGTGCGTTTGCTATTTTATGTACTTTTCATTGAGATAATCCCTCTTCTCGGGTGATTTTAACAGTCAACTCAATTTTAAAATAAAGATTTCATCAAAATGATTTCGAAATTCGGATATTGATTATATAAATAGCACTGTTAACATATTTTTGGATGAGTAAAAAATACCTTGTTTTGTATGCATTTAGTACACCTTTATTTTGATTAAAACTATAAAATTTTTATTCCTTATATAATAAATAGTATATGTTACATAAACATGAAATTCAATAGCATTCAATTTTGGATTTTTTAGATTTGGTAAATTTTAGAAGAAATAAAATCAGCAATCAAAATAAAGAAACTTTTTGTATCTTCTATGATTACCTTTTTACTAAATTTGCATTAAAAAGTAAATTATCTGTATTATTCTGTGAGCACAAGCCCTCAGTTATGCTGGTAGTGAATGATGAATCGTCATTTTGCGAAGAGAACGCGATTATTAAGGTAATTTTGAGAATTGTCTTGAATTATTTAAAATTAAAGTTAATTGAATAGGTAGGATAACTAGCCTTTGCTAAATTTGTATAATTTGACCTTATTCTAGTTGGATCTGAGAATATTTTGCTGAAAAAATAAATTTTATCGCCGATTTATGAAAATTTCTCTGATGGGACCGACTCGCTGAAACGTATTAGTGTTAATGGTAACTTGTCTGAAATTTCAAATTTTTTTCGAAATCCAAAAAATCACAAACAAAAGCATCAAAATTAGATTTGCATTTAAGCTTTTCATTTTTTTTTTGGAAAATAAAAATATTTTTCCCCAATAAAGTTTATTTTTACTTTTGAGAGGAATAGAAACGTTATTTTGGAATTTTGAAACGACAGAAATGTTCCATTTTTAATGTAGATTCTAAAATGGGGTCAAATTTTTGATTGAACCGTTATCCATTGAAAAACCTCGATTTAAAAATGTTATTCCAAAATATTCATCTAATGATATAGTATATATTTATTAATTATTACTTTTTATTCAATTTTCACTTTTGGCGGGATTTCATTTTTTTGTTGTTGTATGGGCCATATTGTTCACCCAAAACGGAAAACAAAGGCAATGCATAACATTTTACTCCACGAACGTCGTCGACTCTCAGCGCGACAGATGCTTGGTGCTTGCATAATGACCGGAATGCCATATACAAAAGGTGCTCGCTTTCTTTCTCTTTGTGGAACTAAGCCCCCTGTGAAGAGTGGTGTCATGAGACAACAGAGATTTTGTGACGATAAGATTAGAAGACTTAAAAGTATTTCCCTAATGCTGTCGAGAAAGTCCTTCAGTGGTTACTTATCCATTGATGCAAGATGGACGCACAGGCGAAACTCGCCAAGTTGTACAGTAACTGCGCTCGATGCTGTCACAAAAAGAGTTCTTGCATGCGTGAACATCAACCATATTGGTGGAAACAGACAGCATGCTCAGTATTCCGGAGCTTCCAACAATATGGAAAGTGCTGGAACTCGAATCATCTTGAAGCAATTAAAGAAATACAATATCTTGAAAGATGTTAAAGAGATTATTAAAGACCGAGATAACAAAAGTGTCTCTGTCTTTAAAGAATTTGGCGTCTCTCATCTTGAAAGATTCGATCCAGGTCATGTATCAAAAAATATCTCAAAAGATTTTACAAAGTTCTCAGCTTCTCATAAGACAGTTGAAGTTTTCAACGACAAGACTCAGAAGATTGAAAAAATAGAGAGACCTTTCTGGGGTCTGAATGCAAGCCTAAGTATGTGGCTTTGGTCATGTTTTGCCGAAGAAAATATTGACAAACGTACGAAAATGTGGGAGAATTGTGTCTACCATTACGTAGGCAATCATTCTTTTTGCGAACCGCACAATTACAAATGCTTTGAATGGCAAAAAGGTGTCAATTCGATCCAACTTCAATTCATGCTCTATGACTGGGTTCACAAATGGACACCCATAGTTTCCAAAGTTTCTTCCATTGGATCTACCTGCATGAATGAAGCGTTTAACTCCAAAATTGCATGCTATTTGGACAAATCAAGAGCCTGGAAGAACATTAACATTAGAGTTAACGTTGCAATCTTAGAATGGAATGATCCAGAGCATTTTCTCGGAGATATACAAAAAGCATTACATCTTCCCCCACTTCCAGAAGATTGTGTCAAATCATTTGAAGAGAATTGTTACTCCAAAATGATATTGAAACAAAAAAACTGTTACAAAAGGTTCTAAAAAACAGAACAAATACAAAAAATCCATTCAGAGTGTACCAGGAGGAGATTATCAAGTTTTCAAGTCCGAATGGGAATCAGAAGACGAAGACATTGATGACTTTGATTAACGAAAATTACATTTTATTTATTGTTTTTGTTTTTAATTAAATTATTAGGGGTATTATTATTGTCGTCTGGCGGTTTTAGACGACAATGCGAATTTTCAAATAATAGGATTTTTAGCCAGATAAAGAGCTACTCCATATATCATGCGTGTTTGCATACTATATACATAGATGGAATTGATGTTCTTCCTTTATTTAGGTACCGAAACATGCTTGAAAAATCTATTTTTTAGACGACAATGATAATTTTGTCACTTTACCAGACGACAATAATAATTTGTCACCTTTTTAGACGACAATAATAATTTTGTCACTTTTTCCAGACGACAATAAAACATCCTCAAATTATTATTATGCTCATTTTCTTATTTTGATTTTTTCTCATTATGATATAAATAATTTATTAATGCATTTATCCAATAATTATGCTATGATATTTTTATGCCTTATTTCATTTCTCTTATATTTGATAATCTGGTAAAATATAGTTCAGACTATAATCATTTTAGATTATTGATATATTTATATAGGTTAGAATAAAATTAGTTTCATTTTCTACTTTTAGTTTGAATTAATAATTTATAATATCAAATATTATGGCGTAACCTCTCCTTTAAAATATAGATATATATAGGCCTATAGAGTTTATTGGCACTCTCAAAACTCTAGAATTTTGAGTTTACTATACCCTTAAATCCTGAATGGAATCAATGGAGTCATAATCAAAGACCTCATAAACGAGTAAAAGAAATTAGAAATAATTATTAAATGAATGAAAGATTCACTACCATAATGAAATAAAAAAATTTTTAAAAAATAAACTTTAAAAATTCATGTCTTACATTTATGAATAATTTATTTTTATTTTGTATGAAATGAGCGTCAAGACTAACGACGTTAAAAAATTGGGATTCACAAATGAGGAAATAAAGGATATATTAGATGAGATGTGTTATGAAGTTAGTAAATATTATTTAAGAAATTGTCAAAAATTTGCTGAGTTATTAAATGATTTAGATTATGATGGAAAAATGAATAAAGATGATGTTATAAATTTCTTATATCCCACATCTGAAGAAGAAAAACCTAAAGAACCTGATGTTTTCCCTGAATATTATGAAGAACGAATTAAAGATGATGAATACGATGAAATTGAAAAACTGGAAAAAATAAGATGAAATAGATGAAAAAATTAAGGAATTAGAGAAGTTGAAAAATATAATGAAAATGAAGTAGAGGTTTAATGAATATCCCAGCTTCAGAATCAGAAGTTCAGAAATCTCATGAAGAAAGATATAAAAATTATGTCTCAGAATCAACACAAAATTTATTAGATGGTGAAATAGACGAAACACTTTCAGAAGAAGGTACTAAATTTATTCGTAAACATAAGTTACAATTTATTGATAATGAAGAATACCCTGTATCCTACTTTCACCGCCTTTAGATTCCGAAAAATTCAAAAAAGCTCTTAAAAACGTGACATATGCAACTAATACGATTAAGAAAGAAGATCATGATATTTACACAAATATTATTTAAATAAATGCACAGGTGTTGATAAAGTTTTTGATTTATTAGATAAAATATCAAAAGAAACCATTGGAACCTATAAAATTTTGTGTGATTGTGGTTTCATTGTTGAAGATACCAATAATGTTTCATATGAAAGAACAGCACCGAAGGAAGACGAAGTTGAAAGGTCTATACCATTCGTTATTAAGAACATAAAAGATATGAAAACTTATAAACATTATATTTATTCATTTATTTCAGAAAAAATGGAAGCAACCCATAAAACATCTTCTCATCATTTTATAGCTATTCATACATTCCTTTTCAAAGTTGTGAAATTAAATAAGACAGGAATTAGATTTAATGTGTCAGGATATGCATTCTTGAGTAAATTAAAATGTATTCGTCACGTCGCGGATGA